TGGTGAGAACCCTGGCCATACTCACACACACACACCTTTTTTTCTTTTCTTCTTTTTCTCTCTTTTGTTTTCTTTCTTTTTAAGATTTATTTACTATGTATACAGTGTTCTGCCTGCAAACCAGAAGGGCACCACCATGTGGTTGCTGGGAATTGAACTCAGGTCGTCTGGAAGAGCAGCCAGTGCTCTTAACCTCTGAGCCATCTCTCCAGACCACACCCTGCTTTTGAAGTGGGGGAGGGGGGTTCCGGATATGGGGTGGAGTGGCTCAAAAACAAAAACAAAAACAAAAAACGCTCAATACTCCTAGCCTGTGACTTGCTTGAGATGTACAAGGTTTTTTGTTTTTTTATTTTTCTGTTTTTGTATTTTTTCAAGACAGGGTTTCTCTGTGTAGCTTTGTAGCTCAGGCTGGGCTGAAACTCATAGAGATCCTCCTGCCTCTGCTTCCCGAGTGCTGGGACTAAAGGCGTGTGGCACCACCGCACGGAGAGTTGTTTGTATTTTAATTATGCTAAAATATACCTAACCATTTTCATAATTTTTAAAAATCATGTGTGTGGTGTGTGCTTGAGGACTTATCGTCGAATCCCTGGAGCTGGAGTTCAAGGCAATTGTGAACCACCCGATCGGGTGTTGGGAATCGTAGACTGGTCCTCTGGAAGAGTAGTACACACTTCTAACCACTGAACTATCTCTCCAGCCCATTGAATAGCTATGTCCACACTGTTGAGCAATGACTCCTCTATATCTAACTTTTTATTCACGACAACGGGCAATCCATTCACTAAGCAGTAATTATTTTCCCCTATTCCCATCACAAAATAAACCATACTCCCTCTGTCTCTAAAAATTTGCTTGCTCATGAATTATTTCTCAATTTGTGACCGGCATATTTGATCAATCATATAACCTTCAGGTTTTAATCCACATTGTACCTTGCGACAGCACTTCATTCCTGATTGGACTTGACGGTGTGTGCCTATAGACTCTGCCAACCCAGGGGAGTCTGAGGCAGGGGGATCTAGAATTGGAGACCAGCTTACCAATACATAGTGAGACCTTCCTCCGAACAAACAAGGTCTGCCCTTCTCCATGTCATCACTTTCATGGCTCAACATACGTGTATATGTATTTGTAAGACCCTTGGAAAGCTCAGGCCTCCAGGATCTCAGCCCAGGACCTCGGTCACCCCAATCACCAGGCGGAGTCAAAAGCTTGCCGCAAACTGCATGAGACTTTATTGTTGTTTAATGAGCTAACCCCGTGTTAGCTAAGGCCTTCCATCCATCCACCATGGCGGATGGCTAGAAAGACGGCTCAAAGCGTCTGCATAGAGATCTTGTAGGGTAGCGTAAGGGGAGTGTCTAGGGGGACACACAGGCTCAGGATTGGTATGCCGCCAGGCTTGGAGGGCTTGCCCTGTGTTGATTGGTCAACTGGTTGTTATGGCCCACAGGCCCTCCCACGGTGGTTGCTATGCTCCGCGCGTCATTGCTGTGCACTTGTCTGTAAAGCACACCCAGAGCCATAAAGCATAGCGCCACCAGCTAACTTCTGATTGGTTCCTTGCCACGAGGCAGGCATCTGACATTTTAGTGACCAAGGCAAGGTCATGACGAGCATGTGTTACTGTCATGTCTGCCGAAATGGGGAGCTGGTCCCTTCGTTAGCTACTGTGGTGATCTGAATGAAAAAGGCCCCCACAGGCTCATAGTGAGTGGCACCATTAGGAGATGTGACCTTGTTGGAGGAAGCGTGTCACTGGAGGCTTTGAGGTTTCAAGAGCTCAAGCCAGGCCCAGTGTCTCTCTCTCTCTCTTCCTGCTGCCTGCTGATCCAGATGTAAAGCTCTCAGCTCCTTCTCCAGCATCATGTCTGCTTGCTCGATGCCATGACGATAATGGACTAAGCCTCTAAGCTGTCCAGCCCCAGGTACATGTTTCCTTTATAAGAATTGCTGGGGTCATGGTGTCCCTTCACAGCCCTAACCAAGGCGTTACTTTTCTATTGCTATGACATAGTGCTATGACCAAGGCAATTTACAAAAGAGCATTTTAATTTGGAGCTCACGGTTCTAGGGGGCTGGAGTCCATGGCCAGCACAATGGTGAGTGTGACAACAGGCGGGCAGGCTTGGGATTGCAACAGTAGCTGAGCTCTGACACAACACGCATGAGGAATGGCTTGGGATTCTGAAACTTGGAAGCTGAGCCCTCAGTAACACACCTCCTCCAACAAGAAGACCACACCCCCCAATCCTTCTCACACATATACCTGTCTCAACCTCTCCTTAGAGTAGCCTTGACTGTCCTACAACTCTGTCTGTAGACCAGGCTGGCCTCGAACTCAAAGATCCACCTGCCTCTGCCACCGGAATCCTGGGATTAAAGGCATGAGCCATCACTGTCTGACTCTCTGTTGTTCTGGTAGAATCTGAAATTCAGCATACTCCCAAGCAACCCCTGACTTCTTCACTAGCCAGCCCTTCCATTGCTCATTACCTTGGTAAATGACACCCCGATTAACTAAGTCAGAACACAGGCATCTTGAGCTGAGAAAATGGCTTAGTCTGTAAGGTGCCTGTCACATAAGTGCAGGGACTTGAGTTCACATGTCCTCCATCTGTTAGACCCCTGGAAAAACTCAGGCCTCCGGGGTCTCAGCCCATGACTGCAGTCACCCCAATCACCAGGCAGATTCCAGAGCTTGATGCAAACTGCATGAGGCTTTATTTTTTTTTAATGAGCTAACCCCATGTTAGCTCGGGTCCTTCACCCACCTGCCATGATGGATGGCTAGAAAAGACAG